CAGCAGAAATAAATGACAGCATCATAGGTCTTCAGATATCAAGGAGTTATAGAAACAGCCCTTGTACCAGAAGACGTTTTCTGTGTTTCTTCGTATCTCTTGCAGAAAGCAAACAAAACTGAATGGAGAACCTGTTGAGAACATGTGGGCCAACCCTATACTTCTGCTTGGCTTGGAAATGTCACATACAAAAAGCAGAAATTTTCTAAAACTGGCAAAATCCTAATGAAGCACATTCATAGATTGATAGATTGTTAGAGGCTGGAAGGGACCTTGTAGATCATTGGGTCCTGTCACTCTGCACTAGACAGGAAAAGACAACTGTGATCAAGTGACCCCAGTGAGGTGACTGTCCAGTCTCCTTTTGAAGATTTCCAGGGTAGGTGACTGCACCACCACTGGAGGGAGTTCATTCAACACTCTGAACAAGTTTTTCCTGGAATTGAGCCTGAAGTGGCCTTCCAGGAGTTTGTATCCATTGCTCCTTGTCTTCCCTAGGTGTGCCCTGGTGAACAGCTATTCATCAAGTTCTTGATGTACTTTTCTGATGTAGTGGTAAGCGTCTACCAAGCACTCTCAGCAGTAAGCCGCTACCAAGTCCCCTGTAGGCTGAAGAGGCCCAAGTCCCTCAGCCTCTCCTCATATGGCTTGTCTTGCAAGTCCCTGATCATACAGGTGGCTCTTCTCTGGCACTCTCAAGTTTTTCCACGTCCTTGTTGAAGTGTGGTGCCCAGAACTGGATGCAGTACTCCAGCTGTGGTCTCACCAGTGTGGGGTACAGTGGGAGTATCACTTCCTTAGTTTTGCATGAGATGCAAGGGTTAATGCATGCCAGCGTGTTGTCTGCCCTGCTAGCCACAGCATTGCACTTCCAGCTCACGTTCATGTGATGGTTGATCACTATCCCTAGGTCCCTTTCGGCTGTGGTGCAAGTCAAATTGTCACCATCTAGCCTGCAGGTATGTTGGGGATTGTTTGCCCACAGATGGACCACCTTACACTTCTGAGTGTTGAACTTCATTGGGTTCTAGTCCACCCAACTCTCCAGCCTGTCCAGGTCCACCTATATCTGCAACCTGTCTTCTGGCATGGCCACCCTCCCATATAACTTGGTGTTGTCTACAAACTTGGCCAGTGAGGTTTTCACTCCAAATCATTGATCCACATCCAAATCATTAAAAAAGATGTTGAAAAGCACCGGTCTAAGCATGGACCCCTGAGGAACACCACTGGCCACTTCTTACCAAGATGACACAGATCCATTCATGAGAACTCTCTGGGTCCTACCATGCAGCCAGTTTTCCACCCTCTGAACTGTTGAGCACTTAAGCCCGCAATCTTCCAATTTTTCCGCAAGGATATCATGGGATACTAGATCAAAAGCCTTTTGGAAGTCTAGGTGTATAATGTCAACCTTCTCTCCTGTGTTCAGGTGGTGAGAGACCTGTTCATAGAAGGAGATGAGATTGGTAAGACAAGACCTACCCACGATGAAGCCAAGCTGGCTGTTGTTCAGAATCTTACCATCAATGACAATATCTCACATAGATCCTTGAATGAGTTTTTCCAGGATTTTCCCTGGGATGGAGTTTAGGCTGATTAGCTTATAGTTACCTGGGTCCTCCCTCTTCCCCTTCTTGAAGATGGGCACAATGTTGGCCATCTTCTAATCCTCAGGGATATCCCCTGTATGCCACGATTTCTGCCAGGGGTTCCACGATGACCTCAGCCAGCTCCATCAGCACTCTTGGGTGAAGTCCATCTGGTCCTGCTGATTTGTAAATGTCTAGCTTTTCTAGTTGGTTTTGCACCAGCTCAGCATCCCAGCATGCCCTCTGTGATCATTATCTTGCTTGTCTTTCCCCTTGGTCCAGTGAAATGCCAAAGTGAAGTGGGCATTCAGGAGTTCAGTTTTTTCCTGGAGTGTCCATTACCAGCTGTTCTGAGGTGTTAGGCAGGAACCCCACGCTTCCATTTGTTTTCTTTCTGGCTTTTCTAGTTGGTTTTGCACCAGCTCAGCATCCCAGCATGCCCTCTGTGATCATTATCTTGCTTGTCTTTCCCCTTGGTCCAGTGAAATGCCAAAGTGAAGTGGGCATTCAGGAGTTCAGTTTTTTCCTGGAGTGTCCATTACCAGCTGTTCTGAGGTGTTAGGCAGGAACCCCACGCTTCCATTTGTTTTCTTTCTGCTCACTACATACCTAAAGAAGGACTTCTTATTGTCCTTGACTCCCATGGCTAATTTAAACTCAGTCGCCACCTTAG